ACACACGTGCACACACATACATACACGTTTACACAACACATACACACACACACACATACATGCTTACACACACACATACATGCTTACACACACACACATACAGGTTTACACACACACACATACACGTTTACACAACACACACAGACACACATACATGCTTACACACACACATACACGTTTACACAACACACACAGACACACATACATGCTTACACACACATACAGGTTTACACACACACTCATACACGTTTACACACACACACATACACGTTTACACAACACACACATACACGTTTACACAACACACACAGACACACATACATGCTTACACACACACATACACGTTTACACACACACACACATACACATACATGCTTACACACACACATGCCAATGCTTACACACACACATACACGCTTACACAACACACACAGACACACATACATGCTTACACACACACATACAGGTTTACACACCATACACGTTTACACAACACACACAGACACACATACATGCTACACGTACACATACACGTTTACACACACACATACACAAGCTTACAATAAATACCACACACACACACATACATGCTTACACACACACATACACGTTTACACACACACACACACACAAAGATCCTTGACATTTACGAGCGGCGTCAGCAGCATCCCGTCTGGACCAGTTAGTTAGATCACCAGCATCACCAAACAGCCCACACCCAGGTCACCATCACCACCAAATACCTTAATCTCACGTCACCAACTTCACTATTCCCGTTCGTTTAGATACCAAGTAACTATATAATCACCATCCTCACCAGCAGGACCTTCTCAGTCACCAAGAACTCCTCACTATCTTATAATCATCACCAAGTCACTATCAGTTCACTATAATCATCACTACTATTATTTCATCATCAAACTGTTCACCATTTCACCAAGTCCATTAACTCTCTATCCCATCAAATCACCATCATGCTCCAATCATTATATCACCATCCCAAACCACAAGACCCAGTCACCATTATGATTCTATACTTTCACCAATGCAAGTAAATAATCACCAAAAAAGCGTAACGATGGTTTGGTATGTAAATCACCACACTGTAATGAGGTCACCAGAACACTCCATCACCAGGATAAGGAACAGTTAAGTCAAGGCTTTTTCCTGGAGTCACCAAGATGGTCACCAAGTGTGTAACGAAGGCTTGGTCCCGGTGCGCATTTAACAACTTACAACGTCATCAAGATCACTACACAGGTTCACCAAAATTTTAATGTTATTCTCAGCAACGAAAGTGTGTGTGTGTGTGTGTGTGTGTGTGTGTGTGTGTGTGTGTGTGTGTGTAGGGGGGGGGGATTGGTGACCGCTGTGGCTTCTATTACGTACTACTACTACTACTAACAACAAGGTGCAACAAAAAGAGCAGCAATAGCAACAACAATAGCAACAATAACAATAAATAATTATAATAGTAACAATAATAGCCAGCTGGGTAACCAAACCACAGAAATCATTACCAGTATCAACAGGTGGTGCACACATTCAAATTACATAACCCATTTAGACCTACCTACCTACCTCTCTCTTTGTACTTACTCTTATTCTCTCTCTCTCTCTCTCTCTCTCTCTCTCTCTCTCTCTCTCTCTCTCTCTCTCTCTCTATCTATCTATTTGTCTCTCTCTAATCTGTGTGCTCTCTCTCTCTCTCTCTCTCTCTCTCTCTCTCTCTCTCTCTCTCTCTCTCAAAACACCAAACTAGGCCACACCTTTAACACACTCGTATGACTGTCCATTGTTATTCTGTTTATCAAGTTACACAAAAACACACACACAAACGAGAAAGGTTTACTAAATGATGTTTTAACCTAATTAGTGTTTTATTATATGATAAACACACATGTACATACACGTAAATATACATACACACATACATATACGTAAAAACCACACACACACATACACACACTAGACCTATTATACTCGTAGGCCTAAAACCAATTTATCACAGACGACAAACAAATTATAAAATGTAAATTAGGTCTAAATTCTTTAAGAACATTATTACTATTAATTAGAACGATGGGGGGGGGGGGGGGGGGTGTGAGTGAGGCTGCGGGGTGATATGTGAGGGTTGGAGGGCTGAGAAAGAGCTAAGAGCTGAAGTGAGGGCTGAGGGAAGGGTTCAAAGGCTGGTGGGTCTAAGGGCTGGTGAGGATGAGCTAAGGGCTGGTGAGGATGAGCTAAGGGCTAGTGAGGGCTAAGAGAGCTTTCTGGAACAACATCAGATTAAACTATTTCAAACCTGCTTTTTTTAATCCCTTTATTTTTTCCTCTCTATCCCATCCACCATCTTTATCAGCCTCTCTCCTTAATCCCTTTCTTCTTTATCTCACCTTAGCTTCTTCTTCTTCTTAACCTTTTCCTATATTTTATAATTTCCTTCTTCTTTCTGTTTTTACTTTATTCTTCTTCTCCTTCTTCCTATCTTCCTTCCCCCTCCTCCACCTTATCACCTCTTCCCGTTTTCTTCCTCTTCTTCTTTACCTTTTCCTCCACCTATCTTCCTTACCTCTTCCACCTATCTTCCTTACCTCCTCCACCTATCTTCCTTACCTCCTCCAGCTATCTTCCTTACCTCCTCCACCTATCTTCCTTGCCTCCTCCACCTATCTTCCTTACCTCCTCCACCTATCTTCTTTACCTCTTCCACCTATCTTCCTTGCCTCCTCCACCTATCCTCCTTACCTCCTCTTCCTTATTCGCCCTCAATACATCTTAAGTTACCCAGCAAGATATTGGCGATGAAGAGAGACGTGGAGGAAAATTGATATAGACGAAGAAGAATAAGAAAATAGAAGAGAAGATTAAAAGAGGAAGAAAATAACAAATAAAGAGGAATAAGAAGACGAAGACAAGAATAAAGAAAATATGAAAAGAATAAAGAAAAGAAGAACAAATAAAAGAAAAGAAGTAGAAGAAAGAAAGAAAGAAAGAAAGAAAGAAAGAAAGAAAGAAAGAAGGAACTATTAATAAAAGGCAAACAATGAAAGACAACAGACACGAGGCGATAACAATCACCAAACACAATCGTCAGTTGGAACAAGACAAAGAGGAAGACTGATAAACGAACCACAAAGAGAAAGTAACAATAAAGATGGAATAACATACAAACGAAAGAGAGAAAAAAAAACGAAAAAAGAATCGACTCAAAGATCAATAAGAAAGAGTAATAATGATAATAAATAATAATTACAAAATAACATAAAGAATGAGATAAGAAAAAGATAAGAAATGCAATAATAAATAAAACAGAAGTACAGGAAGTGTAAAAAACAAAACGAGAAATAGAGAAACGGTGATAAACAGGACATAGAAGAGAAAAACCGAGAGAAAGAGAAACGGTGATTAACAGGACACTGAAGGGAAGAAACGACAATAAGGAGAGAACACCAGCAACGATTATATATGCAGGTGACAACAAGAGAAGGAGGGAGGAAGGAGGGGGGTGAGGGGGAGAAGAGGAGGGGTGGGGGGTGGGGGGGTCGAGGCTAAAGGGGATCCAGTTGTAGCCAGTCGCCTCGTGCAGCAACTGTCAAGATGTACCCCACGACCCCTGCTGGTGTCTGGGAGGCGTGTTGGGGGCGCGCGCGTGTGTGTGTGGGCGTGGGCGGTCTGGGCATAGCGTGGGCGTGTTTATGTTTATTGTTAAGTGTTCTGAGGGCGTCGTGGGCGTGGTGACATTAGAGGTATTGTGTGTGTGTGAGTGTGTGTGTGTGTGTGTGTGTGTGTGTGTGTGTGTGTGTGTGCAGAAGGCGGGACGGACATAACCCACGCCCATCCTGTTGACCCTGGTGAGTGTGTGAGCGCCACGAGACGCCCTTTACCACCTCTTTGGGCACCACACACCACATTGTTTCCCACTGGACAAATTACCCCAGATTATTTCCCATTGGACAGATTACACCTTCAAAATCATAAGAAAAAATCCTATGTCAAATTTATTTACCCCTTGAGTACGATGACTTTACCCCTTGAGTACGATGACTTAACCCCTTGAGTACGATGACTTAACCCCTTGAGTATGATGACTTTACCCCTTGAGTACGATGACTTAACCCCTTGAGTACGATGACTTTACCCCTTGAGTACGATGACTTAACCCCTTGAGTACGATGACTTTACCCCTTGAGTACGATGACTTTACCCCTTGAGTACGATGACTTTACCCCTTGAGTACGAATACAAATTTTTCTCAAGGGGTTAAATAATAATACACAAACACACACACACAACACAGAGAGAGAGAGAGAGAGAGAGAGAGAGAGAGAGAGAGAGAGAGAGAGAGAGAGAGAGAGAGAGAGAGAGAGAGAGAGAGAGAGAGAGAGAGAGAGCAACATCCCAAAGGAGGTCGTAGACACACTCAGGAGGCCACAGATAGACTCACCAAAACCCTCACAGACAAGACACACTTTGTACACTAGGTGACCTTGGCGTCCACCAGGGGGAGTATCCAACCCAAATATATATACACACATGGTAATGGTAAGTCCCTGTGCAGTAACAAGACTCCGAGAGCATAGTTATTTATTGCCTTTATTTGTTTCAGGTGCACAGAAACTTTTCGATCATCTTGTAAACCCTACTATACGGTCATACACACCTTCACCTGTCACTATCATACACCTTTACCTGTCACTAATACACACCTTCACCTGTCACTATCATACACCTTTACCTGCCACTAATACACACCTTCACCTGTCACTAATACACACCTTCACCTGTCACTATCATACACCTTCGCCAGTCACTATCATACACCTTCACCAGTCACTATCATACACCTTCACCTGTCCCAATCAGTGTCATAAATCCTCACCTGCCTGTCAAACACCCACACACCCACCTGTCACCAATAATACTCAGCTTCCTTACACCTTCACCTCTTACCACCTGTCTGAACCATCTACCATCACCTGTCACCTGCTAACTCATACCTGATACCACCTGTGGGACGCCTCTGATCAAGTCACCTGTAAAAGAGAAAAAAACAAACATTATCACCTTAGCAAAATTTTGTTTACCTCACGTGGTAATCAAAATCATAATTAATACCTTACCTTCCTCAGTCACCCCACCTGTCTGCCCTAAAATTGATGACAGGTAAATTGCAGGTAAATATAATGATTTCTATACACGCTATATCAATATACATAGGTAAATACCCTATTATGTAGCTAAATAAGAGGGTATATGTAGTCAATTATGGGTAGATGGGTGACGCAACATGATGGAAATACAATGTCAACACACATACCCCCAAAACAAATGCGTATCTTGGGTGTTACGTGTATTTGGCGTAAGGTGATGTGGTTTTCTTTATATACGCCATATGTCAAGTAATATAGAGGATATACGCTAACTGGTGTAATATAGCTTTGTGTTATAGCTTGAGAGAGAGAGAGAGAGAGAGAGAGAGAGAGAGAGAGAGAGAGAGAGAGAGAGAGAGAGAGAGAGAGAGGGAGATACACAGAGAGAGAGACGAATCACCAAAGAATGAGAGAGAGAGAGAGAGAGAGAGAGAGAGAAAGCGACAAAAGAGATAGAGAAAGACTCGCTAAAGTGGGGTGAGACAATGAGACAGTTCAGAGAGTATAGGAACACTCGGGTCTCTTCCCCCTTGGGTCAACTCGGTGCCGGAGTCAGGTTGCTGTGCCTTTGTTGTTATCTGATAGTGTGTCCTTGTGTTTATGCATCTGTCGACTTGGCTCTCTCTTGCTTGCTTGCTTATTTGCTTGCTTGATTGATTGCTTTCTCTTCTCACTTCCCCTCGGTTCCAGTTTGCTTGCTTGCTTGATTTTCTCTTCTCACTTGTGCTTGCTTGCTTGCTTGATTTTCTCTTCTCACTTGTGCTTGCTTGCTTGCTTGATTTTCTCTTCTCACTTGTGCTTGCTTGCTTGATTACTTGCTTTTCTCTCACCTCCCATCAGTGTCTTCCAACTCGTTCCTTCATCTTCATTCACTTACCATCATATTCAAAGTCAAAGTCTTCCTTCATCTTCACCAAATGCCTTCAAAATCTTCCCTCATCATCACTCACCATCATCAAAATCATCAACAAACTCAATATATAACTTGACCTCGCTACAAACTCCATCTTTGAATTCAAAACAAAAACACACCACCCCTTTTAGAACACTCAAGACTCGCAACACCTTCCCTATAGTTGAGTTGACCCGCTTGGAAACTTCCCTCACCCTTCCCCTCACAACTTCCCTCACTCTTCCCCTCACAACTTCCCTCGCCTCTACTCTACGTTTCTAAATTACTTCATTATGCTCTTGTGAGGTAAATGAATTCATCAACTGTCTTCGATACATCTGACGTCTTGGAACATTTCTCAACACTTCAATATTCCCCCTAACACAGCAATATCCCCCTAACACAGCAATATCCTCCCTAACACAGCAATATTCCCCCTAACACAGCAATATTCCCCCTAACACAGCAATATCCCCCTAACACAGCAATATCCCCCTAACACAGCAATATCCTCCCTAACACAGCAATATTCCCCCTAACACAGCAATATTCCCCCTAACACAGCAATATCCCCCTAACACAGCACATCCCCAACACAGCAATATCCCCCTAACACAGCAATACAGCAATATCCCTCCCAACACAGCAATATCCCCCCAACACAGCAATATCCCTCCCAACACAGCAATATCCCTCCCTAACACAGCAATATCCCCCTAACACAGCAATATTCCCCACAGCACATCCCCCAACACAGCAATCCCCCTAACACACACAATCCCCCTAACACAGCAATATCCCCCAACACAGCAATATTCTCCCTAACACAGCAATATCCCTCCTCAACACAGCAGCAACATCCCCAACACAGCAATATCCCACTAACACAGCAATATTCTCCCTAACACAGCAATATCCCTCCTAACACAGCAATATCCCTCCTAACACAGCAATATCCCCCTAACACAGCAATATTCTCCCTAACACAGCAATATCCCCCTAACACAGCAATATTCTCCCTAACACAGCAATATCCCCCTAACACAGCAATATTCTCCCTAACACAGCAATATCCTCCCTAACACAGCAATATCCCCCTAACACAGCAGGTAGCCAGCCGCGTGTGGTGGTCGTGGTTCACCTGGGCAAACACCGTGAACAAACATATCTGTGAGGGACAGGTGTGTACGCAGGTGTGTGTGTGACAGGTGTGCGATATTTCTCATTAAGACAACCGGTTTGTCTAGCGTTAATTATGAGAGCTATTATTATGCTAATGTGTAATTTGTTGCTTACCTGAGGACGAAAAGGAAACACCAACAACAACAACAACAACAATAATAACAATAATAATAACAATAATAATAATATATCTCTTTATTTTCAAGTGTTCATACATTGTTGAAGCACACACACACACACACACACACACACACACACACACACACACACACACCACTGCTAACAAAACATTTTTAATTTAATATTCAAATTGTTTGAGCATTCAACTGGAGAGAGAGAGAGAGAGAGAGAGAGAGAGAGAGAGAGAGAGAGAGAGAGAGAGAGAGAGAGAGAGAGAGAGAGAGAGAGAGAGAGAGAGAGAGAGAGAGAGAGAGACATGCTTCCTTACACACAAAACACTTCCTTATTATCCAGTACACTATTGTTCCGTGTGTGAAGTGACTCAGAGTGAAAGTGCTTGAAGACCTTTGCTATTGAGATAAAACCAGATAAAGATAAATAATGTAAAATAAAAACAGACAAACACGACACGGGAGTAAAACATTTCTTTGACCTTTCACTGACCTTGACCAACAGTAACCACAGTAACAATAACAGTCAAGCATAAGTGAACAAAGGTAAAAACAGATAACAACAAAAAACAGACGAGAACCTAACATCTCACCCTGTTCCACCACCAAGAACAACAGAAACAACGGCAATAATAACAATAATACTAACAGTAACAACAGTATCAAACAACAGAAAGGTATATATATATATAACACTCTTGACAGCAAACAGACGAGGAACTAAGCACTTACCCTGTACCACCACCACCACCACCACCACCACCGCCACTATCACAACATGCTAACCTTGACCCCGTTACTAACCCAGAAAAAACCCCATCCCTACCACCATCACTATACCACCACCATCATCACTATACCATCATCAATCATCATCATCACCACTACCAACAAGAATAACAACAATAAAACAACAACAGGAGACACAACAGAAACGGCAAACTAACAACAATAAACAGCAAAAACAAAAAAAACATAGACACTAAACAGACGGGGAACTAACACCCCACCTTGCACTACCTTGACCACAACTACCACTAACTTTTAACCCCCATAATAAACTACAAAAGCCAACTACCACAATAACCACAAACCACTACCATAATCGAGAGTAACAAACGGTAAAACTCCAAACGGTAAAACAGCCAAGAGGGACAGCATCGTAACAGCAAACAGAGGAGGAGGCAGCACCCAGTGTCTCGCCCAGCAGCTGACCTTCGCTTCCACTGCTGCTGAATCTCAATGTAAACACGACCTATAAATACCACGGCTGCAGTGTCGTCGGCGGAGGATAGTATGACCATTTGACTACTAATACCTAGCAGAGAGAGAGAGAGAGAGAGAGAGAGAGAGAGAGAGAGAGAGAGAGATTAAACCTCTTCCTTTCTTAAGACTAAAACAAAATCCTAAAACTCATAACACAATACAAGATTTCTTCAAAGAGGACGACGAAGGAATGGGAGGAAGATAAAGAAGAGGAAGAGAAAGAAAGGGAGAAGAAGGAAGAAAAAAAAGGAAAAGGAAGAAGAAGCAGAATTCAAATTTCTTCGGCAGTAATTAATCTTGATAAAAAATTTCACAGAACGAATTAAAAAAAATGTCGAAGCCTTTAGTAACATTTCTTATTATTATTATTATTATCATCAACATCATTACTATGTGACTAAAAACAATAAACCTAATTCAATTAAAACTCACCCACTTAAACCACGAATTAAAACTGACAAGATAGCGTAAAAAACAGCCAAGACTGAAAAACCCTTTAAAAAACTAATGAAAATTAATAATACTAAAACCGATCCTGTCTCTCCAGCTCTCACAGAATAATAAACTCGCGGATTTTAGAGGCTTCGAACCCATCTCACAGATTCGAACCCCCTATAACAGACTTCGAACCTTTATAATAGACTTCGAACCCCTAAAACAGATTCGAACCCATATAAGATTCGAACACCTATAACATATTCGAACCCCCTATTAGGATAACAGTTTCGGCACCCCAGTGTTTATACAGATGGTCGTAACCTCTTTTCTCTCAACACACACACACCTCTGTTTTGACGTAAGGGTCAATATAATGTGTGAATCTTTGTGACTTTGCTCCCTGAGTGGATAACAGGAGTCTGGTTATTGTTAATTTAAAGAGAGGGAGGTGATGGGTGGTCTCTCTTTCCCTCTCTCTCCCTCTCACACACACACCTGAGTATTCTTCGTCTTCTCAAGGTATATTTCACCTGAATATTAATAATCCTAGTGCTGCCTGAGGTGTTTAGGTTAGGTTAGGTTATGTTAGCGTTAGGTTAGATTAGCGTTAGGTTAGTTAGGTTAGCGTTACAACATACTTGACCTTAATAACACAGTCACCACCATCTCCTTATCTATAATATAATGTAAGTATTTGGTCACCCGGAGTCATCATTCAAATGTGACCTGAATCTCTCAATCCATAAATATCCACAACTTTCTACACTAACCACCCCCCCCCTCGTTACAGTGCCAAGTAGAGAGGGTGTCACTATCTACATCTCTCTCAGTACAGTGCCACGTAGAGAGGGTGCCACTATCTTCAGAGAATGCCACTATCTGCATCTCTCAGTACAGTGCCAAGTAAAGAGGGTGCCACTATCTACATCCCTCTCAATACAGTGCCAAGTAAAG